ATTAGTTAAGCGGCCATTCGTATGTTTGTTTATTGGGTAAACTATCGTAAAATATGTCACTGAAGAATTCTTAGCGTCGCAATGAATTAGTATGGTATTGACAACGTGAGGTCGTATTTAAATAGGCGTGACGCACAAACGATAATTTCCACTTCTAAATCAAAAGCCGTCGAGCGAGACAGGAAAGCGATCGAACGCTATAAAACGTCGAAACACAAGGGTAACATAGTGATTAAGTTAATTAATAGAAAAATGCATGACCTTTAGTAACATGGTATTTTCGATTATAAATCTGACGCCTTCACAATTTTTATTGGCCCGTCGGCCTTAGATCCGTCGGCGATCTGAAAGCGGAAGATATTAGTCAAATACCGCAGGTACCATTGAGTCGCGAAGGTGAACCAGTGTGAATAGAGGATGTGCGAGCCCTAATTGAATCGGGAGCGCGTGTGAGCGTTTGGAAATTGGTGCGCGAGTGTGCGTACGCGCATACTAGCCGATAACAATAAACTATTTCCGAAGTGACCCAGTTTGGGCGTCCTTCAGCAATTTGTGCCGTCAGGAACGAGAAAGGGCTGGGAGTCGGGAGCGATTTGACAGAGTATTAAAATACTTTATTGTGCGTAACTCTTTGAGCCGCGCCGGTGAGCAACGCTGGTATTGTCTGCGCTTGTAAATATTAGACGCGGCGTTTACTTAAAAGGGGGGTAATAAGGTTCCGGGGTCGTAAAGGTGATTGTTTTTAATTTGCCGACTTTGTGACTTTGCCGTCGTCTTATCGGGCTTCTGTTGTAGTATTATTTTGTTCAATTATCTACAATCTTGTTTAGAAAATGGAAATGTTATTATTACATTTCTTAATTTATTGTTTCGAATAATTATTTAAGCAGAAGTTTAGCAACACAATTTTTACCACTATCGTATACGTACATAAGTACGCTACTTCATTCACAAATTCCAATTCTATTAACTTATAAATAATTGAAAAACAATATGGGCAGATTACATACAATATTAGTTTCACAATCCTATTTGACGGATACCAAAGTCTGATTGATAACGTTTTTTTAAATTTAGTTCAGGGTCACACGCGCGGGAGTTAAGAAATTCTTGGACATAAATTAACAAATACACGTATTTTAAGAAAAGGTCAATTTTTTGATACCGCTTTTTGCTAGGCCAGTATCTATCCCTATCTATCCTTTAATATCCATCTCAGCCCAGTTGTACTAAAAATGAATCTAACTTTTATCTATCCATAAAAATTAGGTACTTCTTAATTACATTACGAATAATTAACCTACTCTGTTGACCAGCAAATTAGTGATGTAATGATAATAGAATTTAAATAATTACGAATTGTTAAAAATGGATTCTGATTTTGGTGGAGGACAGTACGATATACAAAATTACTGTCTGTAGTATACGCGATTAGTACACATTAAAAAAACGGTTCAAAACGCGAAATATATCAGTTAAAATTATTTTACTAGGCCCCAACTTTTGGATGTTTTGGACTTATACTTCGCGTTTTAAACCGTCCAAGTGTTTTATTTAAAAGTAAGATATAAGTCAAATGTGAGGATAGTTCGGTTCCGTTCGATTTGGATAAATGGTTTGATTTTATATTAATTAGTATTTTCAAAGTTCATTAAATGATTTTGGTTATTAAGATAAGCCCAATGGATATAAGCCTTTAGTGCGCTGTCGCAATCACTTGCTAGGATTTCTGAAATGTTTGTGTTGAGAGCTGTAAACCTACTTACATTGAGAAGCCGTTGAGCAGCCGACCATTTTCTAAATAATTTGTTAATATGAATTCGTGACTGTTGGCACTTGAAGATTCGTCGTTTGCACATTTGAGTCTTTTCGTATGTATGTTTCATTCATAAAGACGAATCTAAACATTTTTTTTTTGGTTTTACAACACAAACTTAACTAAGGATAAGAATCTATGTTCCCCCTGACCACGGCTTCTTCAAAGCATCCGAAACGTCAGACCGTAGTTTAAATACATTATAAATAAGTTTAGCTTAAATATTTTACGTTTTAAGCCGTTACAAGTGTTTAAATATGTACTCTCGTAAACTACACACAATACGTAAGACCCTATGTTATAAATTCTGATAGGAACATGCAGTAAATGTTAGTAAATTTATTTTTAAGAAAAAAGAAAAACTGTCATCGTTGATGTTTATTAGATGTCAATTGTCATAGACTACGTTTAGTTAAAAATTTAATATATTCATTTATACTATTAAACGTGTAGGTATTATTTATAGTTTAGCCAAATAGTAACTAGTAAAGGATAAGCTGCCGACCCACTTTGACTTAGCACTTTGGAAATTTTATATACTTAATAATAGAGTTAAGTCTTGTTGAAACGCGCCAACAACTATCGAAGTTTCTCAAATATGTAGCTATATTAAATGAAAACGTCAGAAAAATATTGGTTTAAGTTTCCAGGAAAATTACGTAAGTATTAATCGAGCTATTGACTAATTAAAGGAAACACTTGCGGTTAGCGTTCACAAATAGATTAATTTTAAGTAAACAGCCACTTAATTGGGTAATTTAAATTGAACAAAAATAAGTCGACTACACACACGTGTACGATACGGTGAGGAAATAGGTTATATTTTATTTACTTGCGCTATCTACTTTGTATATTAACTACGTAAATTTTACGTCTCGGTGAGATTTTTCATTTTAATTTATCTTAAATACGCTCCGACGTTTTGGATGCTTTGCAACAGCCGTGGTTCTAGAAGATTTGAATTTGCCATTAGTGACATCCATCTTTAGTCCCCCCGGGACCACGGCTGCTGCAAAGCGTCTCTAAGGCCGGATCGTAGTTATAATAAGATCACTTATATATTTCGCGTTTTAAACGGTAAAAATTGTTTTATTTAAATATGTATTCCTCGCGTAAGTACAGACAATTTATGATTTTGAAGATTTCCTAAAATATAATTCTATTTTAATCATCGCAACTAATATCAACTGTGTAAACAGAAAAGTAATATAATGGGTAAAATATTATCTATTTACCGATTAAATATTGTCTTTGTTTATTTAGCAATTATTCAAGGCTCCGCAATTTTTTTTAAAAACGTACACTTGCGTCAGTAAAAGTGAACTGGGCTTTCATTTTTTATATGTAAAAACAAATTTGATATGAAATCAACATGCTTTTTATTTAAAGGAATTATTTTGTACAATTACCAACAGTAGACAATTGCTCGTTGGTTTGTTAGTAGCACAAGAGCAGTTTGGGACATGTGTCTGTGCATTTTAAATCTAAAAGATTTTAAATTTTTCTTTAGAAATGTAAAAACAATAAAACTAATTGTAACTTGTAATGATTGGGTAATTCATTTAGTTATGGTTATCAAATAGATACTCTTCAAGGTAAAAAGCAAGGTATGATAAGGGTATATGATAAAGTAAAATGTTACCATGTCCCTCATAGGTAAACACCTAATCTGTAGGGTTTTAATCACACTACGAAATTCTAGTATATAGATAAAAAGGTTCCTTAGATAAAAGATTAAAATAAGATAGTTTACGTTATTGATCACATATGCCATGTACTTAAAAAAACACTTTTAACAGTTTAAAACACGAAATATAAAAGTTACTTACAATTTGTTTTGTTTCCTAAAATTAATTGTAAATAAGTTAACTAATATTTCTTAAATTAAACCGTTAAAAGTGTTTTATTTATACGTGCAATACGGGCGAAAAGTACAGACAACTTAGTATCTACTTTCATCTATAGGCAGGTACCTGTATAAGTTAGAAAAGAACGGGCGGGAACGCTGGTCCAATGGTAGCAAATAGGCAGCTAATCAACAAAACATGGGTTCGATTTCCAACGTTGTACCTAAATAGGTAATAACCAAACATTTTACCTATACACCACGTTTGGTAAACATTAGATATCGTTAGCAATTCCGTTTGAAACACAAGTAAGGGACTTTGATTTAAAACATTATGATTATTATATTGCTAAAGAGTGTCTGTTTTAGTATTACTTCAAAACAAAAAACGCAAAAATCACAAAGCAATAGGCTGGTAATTTTCTTTTTAACTGAATTTCCTTAGATGTAGGTACCTACCTACCTACTCCAATGCAGAACTGATCTTTTCTTGAAAATATGCACAAGTGTTACATCAATGGTTACTTTTAACCAATATTTTGCTACCCAGCTTATGCATTCAAAAAGTTAATTAAATTTGAAAAGTTTCTACATAGTACATAAGTGAAATATGTTCATTCACACATCACTTAATTACGTTAGATAATGAAGAAATGTTAGTATTTTACAAATGAGGTAACTTTTACCGTTTCGCAATACAAACTAGTAAGTGCAAGTGAAATTTTTGCCGACAAGTGTAACGAGCTGTAACATTAGCTTAGTAGTTTATTAAAAACTAGTTTCCTAATCGAATATTAATCGGTGAAAGAAATCGATGTTTTTATATCAAAACACTGCGAGTCAACAAGTAAATCACTGCATTTTAAAATGTTTATCTTTCAAAATGAAGAACACATTAACTGTTGACTGTTTAAGTAATTCCATATTTAAATTAAATTAATAACTTAGTAGGTGTTGTAAAATTTAAAAAAGGTATTAATAGTACAATATAACAATAAGAGGAATATTTCAATAATCTTAACAATTAATTAGGCAAATTTCCAATTTCCTTGTGATAAATCTGATTGAGATAAGTCTAATAAAAAAGATCTTAGCATTGTGAATGTGCGCGAAAGTAGCGCAAGAGCATTTGATGTTTCGGTACACGCCGAGTTTATTTCGCAAGCATCTAATGTGAACTTATTAACCTCTCCGATCGAGGCAGAGGCGAAGGCGACGAGGATGAAGCTACGAACAGTGCGTTCATTAGACACAAGGTTGTCCCAGCCACACGATCTCAGCATAGGCCAGATATCGCTGAGGACCAACGCAAAACTTGAAAGTAAACAAATATCTCACCTTGCCAACTGTAGTGCACTTCTATTTGCAATCTCATTGTAGAAACTCAAAAGGAAATTACTGTCAAACATATTAGCACTGCATCACAGCCATTTCACAAAAATGAAATATACAAATGTGGAAACAACAACAATCCGAGCGCGAGCGATCACAGGATTATCACAACGTCCGGTCCCAGGCACGTCCGTGCGCCAGCGACGTCAAATCAAACTGGCCCGGTCAAAATGACGAAAGTGAAAACATCGCACGCACAGAAAAAAGGCTGGCGGCGCGATACAGTCCTTGCAGGCCGCCTCTCGCGCCCGCTCCAGTGACACAGTAACTGCGGCGCGCGCGCATCGCCCGTCGCCTATATAACGAATCGCGCAAAGGCTCCGACTTCAAACGCGGACAGATACAAAAAGAAGATGCTCTAGTAGCTAGGAAAGAAACACGAGATCACAAAGAACAGTGGCACGCGTTCGCGAGCGAATGTTGGTGTGCGCAGAGATAGACGGCGGCAGGAAACTCCGTTCTCTTCCACTAGGAAAGACCTTGGATTTGAATCGGCACGTTGCAATGTATACCAGTCGCCTACGCCGCGGTTACCTACTTGCGGCTGACGGTACCGGCGGATTAAACGATGATTCTATGTACTTATTTTCACACTGCATATCGAGTATCATTGAATGGCAAATCAAGATGCTCTTCGAGTAGCACGTACTCAGTACATCCTACCAACGACGCAATTGAATAATATCATCTATTGGTAGAGAATGCCTTTTTATATTAATTTACTTTATTATTTACAACATAAAGATCACAAAAGACGCCTTCTAGTCAAAAGCAATGTATTTTTGTAGCAATATTTTTTAAGAGTCACTAGCACTTGGGCCCTCTAAAATAGGTCATGAATCGAATATTTAACCAATTAATGTCATCTGTAGAGAGTTGACGAGTGTAGCAGATTACATTAATTTAACAGCGGACTCTAGAACAAAGAGTGTAATTATCAATGGTGATGATGCAACCAGTTTTGATAGTAATATTAGCAACTAAACACGTACCCCGCGTGGGAAGTTAGAATATTGCACAAGATGCAAACGAGGGTACAGATAATTATGTAAAATAGGTCACGAGGTCGCGCTTACATCCTTTCTCTAGGCATTATTCACATTTTTAACAAAAGGTAGTGCTATACATTCTAGGCCATAGTTTAGTATTTATCCATATAAAGCTAAAGAATTTATTTGAAGGCGCTATCCTCAGTAACTACTGGTGCAATTGGAAAAATTATGTTTGTCTAGAATAGAATAATTATCGAGGAAGGCTGAAGCTATCAAACAACGGGCTGCGACAAATAAGAGCAAAGTAACAGGGGAAAATGTGTCAAAAAAGGGGAAAACTAATAATCTCTGTGGGTTTCCGCTGCGTACGCTTCGAAAACGGTCTACCAAAAATGATGTGTGAAAGAATAATTCTTCTTTTAATTATCTGAAAATCGTACGACAGTTTATGTCTATCTTCTAAGATTAACTTGCAAGAACGACTTAACGTGGACGAAGTCGCTCCTAGTTATAAATAAACATATAGCTATTCGATTTCAAAATTGAATAAAGTCGTAAATAATAATTTCAATAAGCAAAACTGGATTCTTCGACATTCTTTTTTCACTAAAGTGACGAATTAATGAGCAGCCGAAGTAACCATGACACCGAGAGTCACGGCTAAATGTGATTTCCTAACAGACGTCAAATATTCAAAACTTTATTGTATACATATAGCTACGTAAGTCCAAGATCAGTGCTTCTTTATAAGATTTAAAAATGCGGAGCTGGTGAGACTAATTTTATATGGCCGTAATTGATAAAATTAGAGTAAATACTGTCTATAGTTTACGCGAGTAGTACACATTTAAATAAAACACTTTAACGGTTTAAAACGCGATATATTAGTTAAACAGCCGTGTCTCCCCGTGACCACGGCTGTTGCAAAGTATCCGAAACGTCGGGCCGAAGTTAAAAATCATTTCCAAATAAGTTTAACTAATATATCGCGTTTTAAACTCGTCACTAGCTAATTAGTGTCTGTAGTTTACGCGAGTAGTACACATGTAAAAAGAAAACATTTTAACGGTTTAGAACGCGAAATATATTACTTAAACTTTTCTAACTACTCGGTGACTACGGCTGCTGATAAACATCCGAAACGTCGTAATTAAAAACAATTTGTAACTACAATAATGTTTAGCTAATATATTTCGCGTTTAAAACGGTTAAATTGTTTTATTTAAAAGTCTCTCTTCTCTCTTTGGCTATAATAACGCTTGAGCATTATGTACCGTGGACGTAATGTTACACTTTCATTTACGATTCTCATTGTCTAAGCTAAGATTGGATAACTTGGCAAAAATCATCTCGACATCGAGAACTTACATAAAGTAGGTACGTTTAGGTAATGTGAGAACGGTTTTAATTGCCTTTTCAATTTCAAGTTTCGTTTAATAAATTCGGTATTAAGTTTGTAAAGTGAGAGGTTCCTTTTGCAGATTCTCGCTTGCTTTGTCTTAACGCTTTTATCTATACTAATATACAAAGCTAAAGAGTTTGTTTTAAAGCGCTAATCTCAAAAACTTCTGTTGTGTGTAAGGGCAAATAGTTGATCAAACTTCCGTGCCCTACCCGACCGGAACAACATTTTTTTCCCCCGGGATTCGAACCCTGGACCTCGCATTTAACCATTTGGCTACAGAGGCGGTCAACACTATATATCTATCTTTTAAAATTAACTTGCAAGAACGACGGGACACAACCGACGTTTTTGGAGCTATAATTTATAAAGATGCAAAAACAAATTTTGATGTCCCAAATAACTAAGTCGTTTTCACAGCTAGTAGTGAATATAGTTAATAAAGCTCTCTTTTAATTTGTAATAATAAGGTGTCATACACAGAAGCTATTTATCGTATAACAGCGACAAACCAACTATTTCACTTCTATTTCCGAACAATAGCCCATTCTGTTTCACAAAATATCTAAACCGTTCACAGTAAAATGTCGACAGTTCTGTTTTCCATTCGGAAAACCACTTTTAGTGTACAAGGCCAAAATGATGTTTAATGTTAAAATGATGTTAAAAAAGCCTGCATTTATTCACGAATTTTGGTCAACTTAGATCTTTATTTACAGAGTGAGCTAAGATATTTTTATGTACGTCTTTATTGTGATTCACCAAAGATTTCGTGGAAATTTAAATTCACTTTTATCTGAATCAAGACAACTTTGTTTGTGTACTACTATCATACAATGAAGATTAGAAAATTTGTTTGTATGTCACAAAAGGCTGTATACATAACACTTGTATTATATATCTAAACCAATAGTTGTAGATACGAATTTCAATAAAGCGGAACATTGCTTTTTGTCTATGCGGGTGAAACAAGAGCTGAATTCATTAATAAATCAGCATAATTTTTTACAAGTAGTACTTTATGTATTTGCTAATGTTCAAGGACACAACACATCTCTAGTGGGTCACATATACACTGTTTAAAACTGGAAATTTTTATTTTTTTACACACACAAACGTGTGCGTGTGATAAATTTTGTTTCAACCAAAACAAAACAGTATTTAATCAATGGGCGTTTTGTTTTGTTACTTGAATGGAATCACACACACATACAATGTGTGTGCAGGATGAGATCACCCACAGTTGAAAGTGTAAAAACTTTCCCGGCATTTCTTCTGGTGAAAGTTTCAACGCAAGTATAGTGCGAGTATTGTACTTTTGTCACTAATCTTTATCGTAAATCTTAATCTCGACATTTAAAGACACGCCTACGAGCATTCGAAAAGGAAAGTTTGCTTCGTATGTTGCGCAATTTAGTTTTATTACGATGTTTAACCTAGAATATATTAGGATTAAGACGATCGATCATAAATAGCTCTGGATTTACGAAATATTCGTATATTTTTCCAGTAGCTAAATCTGATATACTTTCTGAGTTATGGTGCAGCTATATCGGATATACATCTCACTATAACATGTCCGACCACAAGTTACGTTGCACGTGAAAGTGTTTGGTAATAACAGATTATAATCATCCGCGGGTACTTTTGCGTCACGATCGCCCGTAACAGCTATATTTATTTGTATAAACGAAAATTCGTTATCTGGCCTCGGTTAATTGTACTTTCTACTTTGACGATGACAAGTGCAGTTATTGGTGGCAGTAGTTCTAACTAGGGAAATAAATGTAAGTTTGTTTTGTCACAGCAATTGAAAGTGTTCGCCCAACGAGGCTCGAGCAGCGCACGCGTCGAAAGTGAGACCGTGAGGTTGCGTTACGAAGTTTTTATTGTCGGCCGCGCGAAATCACTTGAAAGTTGTGTTGTCCTTGGTTATTTCACTCCTTTATTTCTTGCATTTCCGACAACGCAGCAATTTGTCGGTGACGTCGGTAACGTTTCGAATGTGTTTCCTCACGGCCCCTTCACCCGGCCGTAGGATCGCGATTCGCACCTACTTAATACTGGTGAATTCTTACCGATGAACAAGGTGGGACGCGAGTTCGCCGGGACAGTCCAGGGTAGGGCGTTCTCGTCCCGCTTCCAGATTGCGACACTCGGCCGCGGCGAGTTCCGCGCTAGCGCAATGCTTGTCCCGGTTACTTTCACACAGCAAATCCGGGGCGGGGCACTGAAACACTGTAATCCGGGCACAATCACTGGCACGAGTCCGGGTGACGCGGGAGAAACGGCGCGACGGCGCTGCGGGCCGCGTGCGCCGAACGAGTGGCGTCGGGCGCTATCGGTTACGCCACGGTGGAAAGTAAAAGTGAGTGGCGCGGGGCGCGGCATTTCTCCTACTTTCGCCGTGATTCATGTCGCCAAGGTCGCTCCAGCCACTCCCGCGCCGACTCCCGTGCGCTAATTCGGACGCGACGGGCGACATTGAAAACGCTGAATGGATAACTCGCTTTTACGTATTTTACGCATATAGCAACGCCGCGTAAAACACGTAAAACGTTAAATAAAGAACAGATGTGGAAATATTCGTTGTTTCATTAATTCTTATCAGTTACTTTATAGGTCCTACTGTTCTGTAGAGGGTAAAGGGTGATCTATCGCCATAAGACGAGGAAACGATAGTACCTCTTAGAGATCAGTCCTAAGAAATGCCAAGTACATTACTATGTACACAAGTTATATTTTTATGTACTGAGAATCGAATTCCCGACCCCAGAATAGGCAGGTGCCCATAACATCTGACCTATCTAACTTTCGCTCTATTCAAATGCTAAAAAAGTACGAGATGCTTCTGGTTAAAAAAACTGTGTATTATTCAATGCATATATTTATTTTAACTATATAATATAGATTATGAAATCTTTACTCTAACAATAACTGTTATTAAATTTATCTATAATATTTATCTTCTATTAAATAATTTCTTTCAGTAATTATTTTGATAATTTTTCATTGAGTTTTAAGCGATTGTCGTGGCGTCAATTGATGATTGAGTGTATAATTGTTCACAGCATAGTTTTGCTGATAAATTAATTCCATTTAACATACATTTGCATTATCGCATGCAAATAACAACTGTACACATGTACGTACAAACTGCATATCGGGTTTTGCAGCTATCAAAATTTCTATAAAAGCGGATGTACGCTGCGATTATACTAAAACAATATTAAATCTATAAGCGACAAAATTATTTGACTTTTGATTAAGACGCGTAGTTAACTCGCGTTTCGGTTCCTATGGATTTAGCCAAAATACGTCAACAGTGCATCTTGTTTAGATGTTATATGGGGTCTTCCACTTACCACCCGTGCTTGCGACATGCTCCTATATGATAAAAAACCTAAAAGCCGATCTTTTAAATTTAAAACTCTCTTCAACGTCCAGTAAATTTGTCATGGAAATGTTTGTTTTAGATAATACTTTTACTTACTTTAAAACATTATATGCATATGATCGACCAAGAGCATACAGTAATATTCCGTGCCAATCGTAGGCTCGTTTACTTCTAATTTGAAACCTGAGAGCAAATGTTAATTTTTAACTGGTGTGACGACAAGTCTACCTAGTTACCTACGTGAATGAAAAATTGATTACTTTTATTTGACTCTCTTTATTTACTAGTAAAGAGTAAATACAACCTTTGTATCGTTTCCTATGCAATGGTGATTCACCTAAAACTGACATCACTTAGTTATTATGTAGAGTACCTAATCAAAGTCTATGGGGACACACCTACCGTGTCATTTGTAATTATTGTATTTATGACACACACGGTGTTCATCTGATTTTTAATTATTTTCACTATAATCGTTAGTCACGTAAGTAAAGACTGTAAGTGAATTTTGTAAACTTAAAATTCCTCTTAGTCAAAGTCGCTTACGTATTGTAATCTAATTCTCGACAAATTAGTATACAATAACGATTAAAGTATTATGTTGTTTATTGATTATGATATTATATTCTTTTTATATTTATTATATACTCATAGTACTATTGATGATTAATTATTTTAAAATTTGAACCTAGATTTAAATAAAACACTTAAACGGTTTAAAACGCGATATATTAGTATAAGTTTAACTAATATATCGCGTTTTAAACCGTTAAAGTGTTTTATTTAAATGTGTACTACTCGCGTAAACTATAGACAGTATTGAACCTAGATTTAAATTATATTATATATATTAAATAATATAATTTGATAAATATATATTAAATTATATAACCTAAATTTTCTGTTAAACTAGTAAGTCTGAACTACTACCCAATAATTCAACTCAATTAGTAAAATAGAGACACAGATTTCCTCCACAAAGGGACGCGTTTGCGCTTAGCAGAGGAAGATTTATATGTCCCATACCCCACGTCTATTCAGTGTTTATTTAAAACATATTTTACGATTCTTCCTGCATAATTGTAATGAGTATACAATGAGGATACGCGGTCGACATTGAAAGTTGGCGTTACGTTACGTAACACAATATCGGGCAATTGTATTGGATATCTTGTATCAGGACGGCACGTGATCATCGATAGTACACTTGCTGCGTAGCTTTTCCTGGATGCAAATCAAACCAAAAGAAGTTACAAAGAGCATACAATTTTACAATAGAAAGAAGTCTCGTTCGTAATATTTATCTACGTGCATTCTAGGTGTTGATTTGGAAATATCTTCTTTAAAAGAAAATAAAAGGAAATATATTAGTTATTTTTTTAATGCAACCCGACTCGACAATTCGGATAAATTTCAGCACTCGTGATTACGGCGGACTTAAATGGTTTTGGAACAAAAAAATACTTTTTTTTTCTATATGTAACACTTGCGTGTTCTTTTATGTTTTAAGTGAAACAATTTTGTTGGTGAAGTTTCATTGTGGTGGTGAAAACTCACTTCTGCCTTTCTCGTTATACACTCAGAAGTCGAACCCGTCACGCTGTATTTACCGCCATCATTTCTAAATATAATATCAATAATCTGTAATACGTACAAGTACCAAGTTTTACACAGACTACGTTAGGTGTATCCTACATAATATTGATAACCTCAGCTTATCATTATTAACTCTCTTTCTAATGTAGGTTACCCAAATTAAACGGTTTTAATTTATTTACTCAGACCATTGCATCCAGTGTTCTTGACTGATACGAAAATAGGGTCAGCAACGAAATTGATAGAAGAAAGTACTAGCATTTCTCACAATAAATTAATTCTAGAATTGTCTGAAACTAGAGTTATGAATGCTTTTATTATTAACTAGCTGTGCCCGCAACTTCGTCCGCGTGGAATAGTGACTATTGGCAGACATTTTAATTTTTTCAACTATTTATTTATATATAAAAGGGCGCATATAGGGCAGCCAATCTGTGTGGTAAGTGATACTTTGCCACAACACTCCCACTCTCACCTCCTACTGTAACTCTACAACTACTAATTACAAAAAGCCAAAGGAGAAAGCCAAAAATTTCCATACAAACTTTCATCCCCCTTTTCAACCACTAAGAACTCTTTTTTGTCATTACTGGGTAGTCTATGTCCTTTCTCAGGCTCTAGTATATCTGTGTACCAAATTTCATTTAACTGGGTTCAGTAGTTTCGGCGTTAAAGCCAGACAGACAGACAGAGTTACTTTCGCATTTATAATATTTAAGTATATTAATATACGAGTATTAAATTGTAGCTATAACAGTTAAGCAGAGTGGCTGGAATTGGAATTCTGTACGTGACCTAACTTTTCTTAAATACTACCTTTCAAACCTAGGACGTCGCAATGCGTGTAACCACCGAGCTGAATATATTTATTTATATTAATTCGAACTGAATAACTATACAATATTTCAATAATATTTGTTGAGATGCATTGTGCATTGCAATATAGTCATTATTACATAACAGTAAGAGATAGTTTCGCTCAAATGCCCGATTTTCAGTGGCTCGCCCAAAGTTGAAGAAGCACTTTAAAGATAATATCAAAGAAAACTGTGTCACAACCTTCAGTGGCATTGCGTTATATTGATAACCCCCGGAATGGAGTCGCTATCGCTTCATATTTGGGTGTTGTGTAATCAGATAATATTTGTAAACAACCCTTCTTTGTACCTATCGAATTGTTACTCACGTTTTTAGATTATTTAAAGAGGAATCATTCTTTCATACATATTGTTTGGGTATCTTGAACCGTTATTGCAGTAAGTTTGCGTCCGCCTCGGAACCCATAACGATGAATAATTTTCCCAATTCTTTTAGACGTTTTTTGCTTTATCTTCTCTTCTATTAATCACAGGTTGATGTTTTATAGCCTATAGCCTTCCTCGATAAATGCTCTAACCAACACAAAAAGAAATTTCTGGGATCAGCACGATCAAACAAACAAACTCTTCAGTTTTATATATTAGTGTAGATATCGATTTTTAATTTAATATAATTATCTCCATAAACAGCTGTAGACAATTTTAATGAAGCGTTACAAGTATACACATTGTAGAATAAGAATAAAAGTGAAATTCTTTAAATCAAAAAGTCTTGTTTGCGCAAAATTTAAAATTCAAAACGACCTTCGCCATATGTAAAAATGACATTTATGCATTATTGAGTGAGTGGAATATTTCCTGAAATCGTTCAATGCGGAGCACTGAAAAAAATCTGTTATAGTAAAACCGCCGGTATAATGCTAGTCAAAGGTAAATCAGATTTTAACATATGCTGTGAAATTTTACTTCTAACCTTGGTATTGAAAACTAATTGACTATTATAACTTGCAATTTACGTAACTTCTGTTTTTTTTTATATACTTACATTCTACTTTTTTATGATGGAGGGACAAGCATAGGATTTACTTTATGGAAGGTAGAATGCTTCTAGTAGTTGTCTAGTAACATTGTACTATAACCGAGTGGCGGCGAGTTTCTTGCCAGTTCTTCTCGTTCGTTCTACGGCGTTGACTTAAGAACTGGTAGTAAATGTAATTTTAGAACTTTATATAAAGTGTTTATAAAATTTAAATACAATGTCAACCTATTTCTCTTTGGACACGCTGAAATCCATAGAATGAAATAGAAATAGAATAACTTACACTCTACACTTAGGGAACGACCGTGACGACAGAGACCTTAGTTTAAATAAAACACTTTAACGGTTTAAAACGCGAAATGTAAGTCGACGGAACAGATAGCAGTAGCGTAGCAGTGTTTCGCTTTGACATTATATATTAGAATCATTTTTAGACCTACGGTGACCACAACTGCTTCAAAGCATTCGAAATGTTCGGGCCGTAGTTAAAATATTATGTAAATAAGTTTAACGTATATATTTTGAGTTTTAAACCGTTTACTACAAACAGCATTGTACAGACAGTATTGGTGCGTTTTTAGTTATTCTGGCGTAAAGTTTAAAACCAAATGTCA